CCGAGCCTCTCTTTCCCCCCCTCCCCATTCCCCCCGACTCGCTGGGTATGGACCGGACTGGAACCGAGCCTCTCTCTTTCCCCCCCTCCCCATTCCCCCCGACTCGCTGGGTATGGACCGGACCGAGCTTGCTCTCCCTCCCTCCTCACTGACCCGCTGTCACTAAGCAAGCCAGGATTGAGACCCCCTCTATCGGGGCAAAGACCCTCAACCCCTAATTCCATTGGGTATGGACTGGACCGGGATCGTGCCCTCGCCCCCACTAACCTGCTGGGTACAGGCTGAACCCGGACCCACCGCCCGCCCCACTGAATTCTCTGGGCTGTGACTGAGCTGAGCCCTCATTGCCCTGAGACTCCCACCCCAGCCGACAGGCTAGGTACAGATGGACTGTCCCACTGGTACTGAAACCCCTACCTCCAGGCTTGTATCCCGTTGGACTCTCAAGCTATGGGCCACATCTCCTTCCCTCCCCCCACCCCCCAGCAGGGACTTGGCTCTTCCCTGGAGTACAGCCAGCACCCTGTTATCCCAATGTGTCACCTCCCCACCTACAGTGCGTGGGGTGCAGGGAAAGGTCACGAGTTCCCCATAGCCCCAAGGGGCCTGCTCACCTCTAGGGCGTGTCCTGTTCTGTGATGTCCCCCACCCACCCTCATGGGTGAAGCTCAACCCTCAAAGAGCATCAGGAGTCTGGAGCCTGTGGTGCTGCTGGGAGCATGTTTACCCTCCTGCTTTGGGGCCTGAACTGACCCCAACTTTCCCCCTTGTTGCTCATCAGACCCTATATGGCTGGCAAGGGGAAGGGAAGGTAACTTTATTGCGTAAAAATCAGAGGCATGTTCTGCTTCGTGCTTAAAGGGACGCTGACGAGTTAAACTTCTCTCTAAAAAGAGCGCTTGTGGGAAAGTGAAGATTACAAAGATCTGATGCCATGCTGGCTCTGTGCTAGTTTCCTTCCTGTGTCCCTCTCACCCGTAACAGACAATGAAGTGACAAGTTGCTTTTGCTTTTGCTCTAGTCCTCTCCTAGGCAGTTTCACTGCTGGTTGTTCATGCCCTAGCCTGGTGCTTGGGTTGTAAACAATGCAGGGAATTGTTTGGTTTCAAACCACATTTTTCACTGGAGTTCTTGATTTTTTTTAAAAAAAACCCTCTATGAATGTTCCACTGACTTCTGTAAAAGCAGATTATATCTGAAGCTTATGGTGTGGGGCATAGATTTGACGTGACATGTTCCAGTGGAAAGAGAACACCTTGGGCTCATTGTGTATTCTATGCCCTGTGAAAACCCCCTAACGTTCCATGT